TTGGCTGAAGGACTTGCGGAAGTGGCCGACCGCCGGCCAGTAGACCCCATCCGTTTCTTGGCCTCCTGGATTTACAACTATAACGAAAATAGAAAGAGAGAAGAAAAGGTGATACATTTCCTAAAAAGTAAAAAAAAAAATTAAGAAATCTTGTCTCAGCCACGACTGAATCCAATTTTCTTTCCTCCCAATTTTCCTATCCCTTCTGTCTTCTAGAGAAAGAAAGAAAAGGGCCACCTAGAACTTCAGTATGAAGAACTTCTTGCAGAACTGGGGTCTGTGGAAAAACTGAAAGCAGAAGAACTTCTGACGGCCCCAAGATTTGAAGAGCAGCCGAAGGTCTGGGTCTCTTTAATTTTACGCTAAAGTACTTCCTTTAAGAACCGTATTTGGCTCGTTGGTGTAATGAGAAAAATTGTTGGAGCAGTTGTAAAAAAAATATGCATATTTTAAAAAAAGGGTCTGTTCTCTAGATTGTGGATGGAGGGATGGATTTATGCCAAATGGATGGATGCTAAATTCAGTGTTTCTCAACCTTGACAATTTTAAGGCATGTGGACTTCAACTCCCAGAATTCCACAGCCAGCAATGCTGGCTGTGGAATTCTGGGAGTTGAAGTCCACATGCCTTAAAATTGTCAAGGTTGAGAAACACTGTGCTAGATGGTTACAAGTTGGTGGCTGAAGGGAACTGAATGCAGTTTTTTTCCATGAAGGATCTTTTCCAGGAGCAAACGGAAGATATTCCTGAAAAATTAACGGAAATAGATGGAGCATCACACCGACCTTTGAGACAAGAAGTGGCTGAAAAGAAGGCAGATGACGTGAGTACCTATTTTAATGGGTGCACTTGACATGTTATTATTACTTCTTCTTTTTTTAGAGTTTTATTGGTTTATAATATACGAATCGAAATACAAAGTAAATAGCGGGAAAGATGGGAAGGGAAAAGGGAGTAGAGAAGTGAGGTAAGGGAGAAAGAAAGGGGGGAAAAGCATTGGCTTCTGAGTTCCTTTGGTGCAATAGAGTATCCACTTCAAACCTCAGCTTTTTACTTTCACAAAATAATACAAACTAGCCATTTCAATAACATCAAATCTATCTAATTGGTAACGCCTACAATCAAAATTTCATTATTTTTTTTCCACCTCAAGCACAAAATCTAGAAGCGGTTTCCACGTGGCAATAAAAGTTGTATTTTTTTTCTTTAACCAGTACAGTCAGTTTAGCCATCTCTGCTAGCTCCATCAGTTTTTGTAACCATTCCTCCATCGTGGGAATTGATGTAGTCTTCCATTTCTGAACATAATCTTGCTGCTTTCAACATTGTTGTTGTTAGTTGCGAAGTCGTATCCGACCCATCGCGACCCCATGGACAACGTTCCTCCAGGCCTTCCTGTCCTCCACCATCTTCTGGAGTCCATTGAAGCTCACGCCTACTACTTCAGTGACTCCATCCAGCCACCTCGTTCTCTGTCGTCCCCTTCTTCTATTGCCCTCAATCTTTCCCAGCATTAGGATCTTCTCCAGTGAGTCCTTCCTTCTCATTAGGTGGTCAAAGTACTTGAGTTTCAACTTCAGGATCTGGCCTTCTAAAGAGCAGTCAGGGTTGATCTCCTCTAGGACTGACCGGTTTGATGGCCTTGCAGTCCAGGGGACTCGCAGGAGTCTTCTCCAGCACCAGAGTTCAAAGGCCTCCATTCTTTGGCGTTCAGCCTTTCTTATGGTCCAACTTTCACAGCCATACATTGCAACTGGGAAAACCATGGCCTTGACTATACACACTTTTGTTGGCAGGGTGATGTCTCTGCTTTGCTTTCAACATATATAGTATCAAAGCTCCATTTTTTTTTCCAGGTCTTTGTCCATTACCCCAAGAGAAAAGTCTCTGCTTTTCTTTCTATATTTAGTTTAAGGACTTTCTGTATTAACATATGAATCCTACTTCAATATATTCTTGCTTTATCACACGTGTTGTTATTATTATTACTTCTAACAACAAAACCAGGCCTTTGAAATTCACTTTGCATTAAAATGATTTTTACTTACTGGAAGTTTCTCAGACCTTTTGTTTTGACGTTCTTCGTGGGTTCAGAGAACTGGAAGAGCTTAAGGACAAGAGTTTAAGATAAGACAACAGCATTTCATTCAGGATTGTTGTTGCCTCCTTGCCTTGATAGATAAATAAATCCATTCAGGTCTAAAAATCTGTACAGAATCTGCAAGTTAGTTTTCATACAAGCTTAGTTTTTGCCCTTATTTTGAAGAATTGGAATCTGTCTTGTTTAAGACAAGGGTGATGGAATATCTAGCAGTCTCTGAGAACATAATGGAGGGCCATTATAGAAAATATTTATTGTTCCCAAGTAGGGAAAAAGCATGAGAAAAAGACTAAGAATAATCCTGCCTTGATTACACTGGGTATAAGTTGAGCTGGACAACTTGGAGGCTTTCAAGATTGTTGTGAAGCCCTTCAAGACTGTCAGACTTAGGAAACAAGAACCACTTGGATTTCTGGAATGATCTTTTTTGCTAGTAATGTAGCAGAATCTTGAAAAACTAGACTAATAAAGATTGGGTTGAGAAGAAGGATATTAACAGTGTACTCATTTAGATGAAACTAATTTTCAACCATAGATGACGACCGAAGAAAAGGTTGGACACATCCCAGAAGAATATGAAACTAGGTCAACACAAGAGGTGTTAGAAAACAGAGTGGATCAAGATGACATAAATGTTGTGATAAATGAGTTGGATGAGCAACCAGGCCAGGTAAGTCCTAGTTTAACCCTTCAGGAAGCCTCACTAGGAATTGCTGCAGATGAAGATTTAAGTCCCAACGTCTTGGATGACAAAGACGAAGACCAGTTGGAACAAGACAGAGCAGCTGAGAAGGAGAATGATGATATACAAGCTGAAGGTGACAAGGGCAAAGACCAATTGGAACAAGACAGAGCAGCTGAGAAGGAGAATGATGTACAAGCTGAAGGTGACAAAGGTGAAGACCAGTTGGAACAAGACAGAGCAGCTGAGAAGGAGAATGATGTACAAGCTGAAGGTGACAAAGGCAAAGACCAATTGGAACAAGACAGAGCAGCTGAGAAGGAGAATGATGTACAAGCTGAAGGTGACAAAGGTGAAGACCAGTTGGAACAAGGCAGAGCAGCTGAGAAGGAGAATGATGTACAAGCTGAAGGTGACAAAGGCGAAGACCAGTTGGAACAAGACAGAGCAGTTGAGAAGGAGAATGATGTACAAGCTGAAGGTGACACTCAAGCTGACATAGACAGATCTATTCAGGATGGGAATTCAGAGTAATTCTACAATTCATGTATACTTGGAAGGAAATCCTGTTGCTTTCAAAAGAAGGTAATCTAAAAAGGATGGTTTTTGAGGGTGTGATACTGACAGTTTTCCAGCATAGCTGCACTAGGATGTTATATGGAGAAGATTGATCATTAGACGGTAACCAGTCATGGGAAAGTATGTGTACGACGCGACTCTTCAAAACCTGGTGTGTTCCTGTAATTTTTTGTTTTTATGATTTTATCTGTTGGAAGGAATGATATCTATCTACAACTGGAAATCCTGTTATACAACTGATTGCAAGCAAAGCTCAATAAGTAGTAAGATTCTTGCATCTTGTGGGTGATTTGGGAAGGTATTCTTCTCACGGCCATGGTTGACACCGTTCATGCAAGACATTTTGTTATGTGTGTAGAACCACCCTCAATGCTATAGATGTGTGACACTGATTTGGAGACACATTATATCAACTTGTGGCTCTGTATATGAGACATGTATATTCTACATACGGGTCGCATTCAGATGTACAGGTGCATATAGTGTCTCCAAAACATTATCAACATCTATCTATATGTGTATGTGTGTGTAAAATAAGACAGGATGCAAACTTAATACCCTCACTCACACAATCTGTGATTAGGTGGCTATGTTTGAACACAGTCCATTTCATTATGGTTCAGTGCAAACCCAGAAAGTGAGTTAATTCCTAAACCAGGTTAAGGGTGAATGCAGTGACATGCTTTCTAAAAAAAAAATGTTGCCAGGTAAAGCATTCAGTAGCAGACTTATTCAATCTTCCAAACCAATTGTCATTAAAAGTAGTAGCCTTCTACCTTCATTCTCTGAAAGAATATTGCAGATAAATACTTCTTGAAAATGGTACATTTTGGAGGTCAAAAGACCGTTCTTAAATGTACTGAACTTCATAGAGATGAGGATTGATTTGGATTTGGATTTTTAAGAGGTGTTATTAGGATAAGATTTTGAATTTAGTATTGAAATATAGTAAGAATACACTCTTTGGAATAATGGATCTTCCTTCTTTTCTCTTTCTTCTGCTTTGTCTGTTTCTGTCTTTTTTTTACTATTTTTTCTATTTTCTTATGTTGTTTTTATTATTAGGTATAATAATTAATTTGTGGAGGTATAATGAGAAAAAGATTGCAATAATGGAAGAGATGAAATTAACAAATAAAGAATTACTGAATAAGAAACAGAATATAGTTAAGAAATGTAAGGATGTAATGATGGAAATAATATGTTTAAATAAGAGAAGTTTGGGACATCCAAATGGTAAATAATATGTCTGTTTAAGGCTAGGTTGGATATGGTATTTGGAAATTAATAATAGCTGAAAACAGGATTTTGATTTACATAGGTAATGGGTTGCTGATAACTTTTATTGATTAATGGAATTTTTATTTAGGAATTAACGAATGAATTTTATTTAGAAATGTATTAATTTGACTATATTATGTTAATTGATAGAGAGGGAAATTTTAAGAAGTATTATTTGAGCCGTATATTTATAATGTTATTGTATTCAATTGATTACCCTATCTCCACGTTGGTTCTTAAGCTTCTTGGTGCAAAAATAGAAAAAACAATAAAATTGTTTGGAAAAAAACGACCGTTCTTAAATGTACTGAAATTCCTTTTTTTTTTTTTTAGTCTGATGCTGTTTTATTTAGAAATAAGACGTTGTAATGAACTTTTGATTATTCTTATGTATCAGCAGTGTTTGAAAAGTAGCTCAGTTTCCCCTCTGTTACATCACTGTGATTATGATTATGTGTATAAAGGTAGTCCTTGACCTACAATCATTGCTTTAGTGACCATTCAAAGTTATAACAGCATTGAAAAATTGACCTTTGACCGGTCTTGCACTAACAACAGTTGCAGCATTCCATGATCAAAATTTGGGCACTTAGCAGCTGGCATGTATTGATGGTGGCTGTAGTGTCTCAGGGTCATGTGATTTTTCCAACTGGTTTCCAACTTAAAGTGCAGTGATTCGCTTAACAGCTGTAGCAAAACCGGTCATAAAATCGGGTGCAACTCACTGTCAGCCGCCTTGCTTAGCAATGGAAATTCTAGTCCTGATTGTGTTCGTAAGTCGAAGCGTTTTTGTTCAACATTTCTTTTCGCAATAAGAAGGGTATGGACAATCCATTTCCACTGCCCAGCTGCCAATTTTCATCTCAAAAGATACAGACATCTCAAAATATTAAGGCCATTGTCAAACTCAAATTAATGTCTTTTTCCAATAATACGTTTTAGCATATTCCAAAAACATATTCTTGACCGAAGCCATGCTCTATTCTCATTGAGAATAATATCAACAGTAAAACTTTTGTCTGTTTTTTGTACAAATGCAGTAGGGTCCAGTAAATTCAATATTGCTTTTTGTTGAATAAAATATAGTCTAAGGTTTACCAAAGGTTTCCGGATAGAATTTCCCGTTGCTTAGATAAAGTGGAAATTTCCAATTGCTTTTTCTATTCTGTCTTTAAAATGTATGGATCAAATTAACGTATCAGCAGATCTTTGTAAACCCTCTTTGTGAGATTTTTAGTTTCATTAAAGCTTGGTAATCACTTGTAATAATTTAGATGTCCCTGAAGCTGTAAGTGCCATTTATCCATATCAAGATGCTCAATAAATGTTCTTCACATGTAAAAATCATAAAAGTATGTCCACAGGACTAGTGACTTATATAGACTACATATGGACAGTTAGAAAGGAATATGCTTATCCTTTAGTGAATTTTTTGTATAAATCTCTATATGCATGTAAGCACACACGCATGGTAGCTTTGGGTGTATACACCAGTTTATTTAAACAAAAATAATGTCCCGAATAAAAATATCTTTTGAAGAGTAAAAATATGTGATTCTTTTCTTTCTCTTCTGCTAAATCTTTTAAAATATGACTATGAATGGTATCGTTAAGAAATAGATTAATAATTATACTCTTTGAAGTCATTATTAAATATTGTACGACTTGATCTCACATACATGAAGGTTTCCACAGATGATGGTTGTGCTGTAACAAATTGTGCAGTTGTGTAGTCAAGCAGGTTTGTAATTCATTCATATTCATAACTGGTACAGGTCTGTACATTAAGCCTTTAATGGAAGTTTTGCAAAGGTTAGGTTGCAAATTCACAAGATGGTCATTTCTGGTTTGTATAGCATAGGGCAGCAATAGTTTTATTAGACTGTTTCCATGGTTATAAAATGAGACATAATTGTTGGAGGTGAAGCATAAACCACAAATCGTCTTATAAGGCGGCATAAAAATTTAATCAATAAAAATAATGATCAATTTGCACTCTCCAGTTTTAACATTATGTATTATTACTTGGAATTGTCTCTAGCCTTGGGAAAAACATTGTTTGGAAATCAAAAAAAGCCCAGAGAAACTGGATATGTATACAAAAGCTGAAGAGAATATATTAATATCAATAAAAGCCAACTTTAGTAGCGTTGATATTTCTTTAGAAAATCAAACCTCATCTTAAGGTATAACGTCCTCTTTCTTCGGTATAGTATTCCACATTTTATAATTTTCTCATATATTGCTCTGCCACTGTCAGCCAGACGAGGTCGCTAAAGTTTAATAATCCAGGAACTAACTCATCATTTCACCCTTTCTCTAATCTGTTAAATTAGAAAGCCTGCAGCTATAAAGATATTATTTGCAAAAAAGCGACTTAAAACAGATATAGTTAAGATGGCATAAGCTGAAGATCTGACCCATCAAGTGCAGCTTAACCAGTATAGGTCTTGTTTACCCTGTGTCAGCTTCCTTGAGAAGACTTAGTATTAGCTGAGCTGTAAAAAAACCCCAAAACAATTAATTCCAAAATGTTTGTAGGAAGATGTGAAAGTCCCAGGGCAAATATGGTATATAAGAACCAAGACTGATCTATTCGTAGACTTGCTGATTGATAGGCTTACAAGTGTTGAAAATGCAAGAATAGATTGGTATATGTTTCACTCAGTGTAAGAAAAGTTTTATCTGTTGTTTTTAAGAGTTTTTAGTCTTCTGGATAACTTGATGCAGTTGGTCCTTTGTGTCCATTAGCCAATCAACATGGCATAAAACTGATCCCTGTATGATTTGGGCCCCTTTTTTTTCTGAGCCAAAGAATATTTCATACTTCCGTACATCGGTATTAATAGCTTGTTTTTCCAATAGGAATTCATCTAACTTCGACACCAACTCATTTTGTATCTAACTGACAATTGTACCCAGCAAGTGAAAGTAACATTTATAAACTGAGTTGTTTTTTTTTAACATTTTCTTTTTTTGTTGTGCAAAGTTGATACAACCGATCTGTAGAAACCTCAATCTGTCTTTTAAGTCCAGCTAAATGTCTTTGGGATTTCACCCGCCCCTCAATTTCGCAGTTTAGCTCACATCTTTCAGCTATTAACAAGGTGTAATCCATGTTTTGTTTTGAAGAACATAATCCAATCATTCAGAATGAATTGCTGTGAAGTTAAGCTTTGTGTGCACACCACACTTCAGTACTCAAAAACATATTTCATTAAATTCCTTTTCCCCACATTTTGAAGGCATTGGTTCAGACACAGAACAGCCTGAGCAAACATTATTAGTCGGATCACAGCGCTGGAAGTTGAAAACGTCATTTTTGAGATAAGGCTCCAAACAAACTTTGCTACTGTTGATAATGTCGCGTGCACACATCACAATTCTTTCCAAGAAAACTAGATGGGCTTAGAGTGAAACTGCTTTCTTTGCACAAGTTTAAGGGTGCTAATCCTTTGCCCTCCATGCACTATGTTGTCTCTCTTTTTACCAGGCTTTTTCTGGTGCTTATTTGCTCAGAGATGGCCCAGCTCCGGCACAAAAGAACTTGTCTGGCCAGGGTTGAACTTAGAAATTATCTTGATCCATGTCTGCTGAGGTTAGATGCTCTCTGCACTCCTTGAAGGGATAAAATGCCCCTCTTTGAATGGTTGCTTAATCTAACCAGAAAAAAATAAATAAACCAAGAGATTAAAAGCCAGAGGACGCCAAGCCTAGCATCCTTCTAGAGTCTAAAAATTGCTACTCCTTTTTTTGCAATCCTAAAGATGCAGGGCTTCATTTGCGCATGTGCAAAGGGCCCAAGCTCGAACGCTAGGTAATGGCCTAGCGGCGAGGGAACGTTCCTTCTGCGCAGGCGCAACAGGCGGAGAAGCAAGGCCGTTTTCTGAAATTATGGCGGGCGCTGCCGCTTGCTTGGCCGAGACGCGGGTGGGGCAAGTGGTAATGCCGGGGGAAGCGTTGCTCTTGCCCGGCCAGGGCGAGGCGGACGGCGAACGGCTGCGCCTGACTACGACCGGACCGCAGAAGGGGCGGCTGGTTTGCGGGCCGGGCCTGAGACGCGGCGCCGACGGCCTGCTAGTTACCAAATGCGGCCTGCTGCGTTACCGGGGCCATTCCGCCCAGCCCGGAAGTGGGAGCGGAAGTAGTTCCGGGGGAACCTATTGGGTGGACTCACAACAGAAGCGGGTAAGAGGGCTGCGCCTGCGCAGTTCGGAGACTGGCTCTGCTCGCAGCCCCAGTTATCTGCAAATAGGTGCATGGCTATAAAAACGGAAGAATCTATATTAAAATATTGTACACTGTAATTTTATGTTAAATTAACACACTATATTAACTTTTCATTGTAGATAATGCAATTATACATATAACTTATTTAATATGATTGTGTTATATATTAAATTAATTATATATTATCTGTTAATTACGTTAAATTAATTCATTATATTAAATTATACTTATATAATGCAACATAACTTATTTAATGTGATTGTATTATATATTACATTATTGTATTGTATGTTAATTCATTATATTAAATTATAATTATATAATACATTATATACATTATAATCACATTAAATAAGTTATATATTGCATTATAGATAAGATAAGATAATCTTTATTGTTATTTTTTACTGTGGGCACAACGGCACACATCAAAAATGAAATTTAGTTGCCCGCTCTCAAAGTGAAATACATGACACACACCTAAACATACTATGTTTTATATAAATTATTTTATATAATATATACATAACCTATTTAATATAATTGTATTATCTATCATATGATTGTAGTGCATGTTCAATTATATTAAATTATAATTATATAATACAGTCATATTAAATAGGCTATATATGATTACATGAAATATAATTTATATAAAATATATTGATATAAATTTATATAATGTAATGTAATTTTTTATAAATATATTGATATGCCTAGTAGTATATCGTATGGCACATTCACATCACATTTACATTAAGTATAGTATATGTTACGTAATAAATATAAATATTTGGGGAAGGAATGCAGTATTTATATAGCAATAGCCATAGCACTTAGACTTATATACTGCTTCACAGCACTTTCCAGCCCTCTCTAAGCAGTTTACAGAGTCAGCCTGTTGCCCCCAAGAATCTGGGTCCTCATTTTACTGACCTCGGAAGGATGGAAGGCTGAGTCAACCTTGAGCTGGTCAGGATCGAACTCCTGACAGTGGGCAGTGAGTTAGCCAGCAATATTGCATTCTAACCACTGTGCCACCACGGCTCTTACAGTGCCACTTTGCAAGAAAGAAAAAACCCCCACTATATTTATGGTGGATTGCAGGGGAGGGGATGGCTGCGTAATACCATGGCTTTGTTTTCTCACCCAAACAAAAAAAATCCATTTTTTTTTATCCTTACTCTTGCCAGTATGTCCCAGTGAAAGGAGATCACGTGATAGGCATAGTGACGGCCAAAGCTGGGGACATATTCAAACTGGATGTTGGAGGCAGTGAGAATTCCTCTCTCTCTTACCTGGCGTTTGAAGGGGCCACCAAAAGGAACAGGCCCAACGTGCAGGTGAGGAAACCCATTCAAGCACCACCAGCGGGGAGATCATCCCGTCGTACCCAGGGACGTTTCTGAGCAGACCCGGGTGGGATTGGAGCCATGACTTTAGTGCTTGGTGTTCAACGTCAACATGTACGGCCTGGCGTAGTTTGATTATGTTTTAGTGGGGGTTTTGTATGGGGTATTTTAGAGCAGGCCTGTTATTTAATTTGATTTTAGAACAGAAACTTGCGTATATCGTGGTTTTTATTATCGCCTGTTCACCGCTCTGAGTCCCGTAAGGGAGATAGGGCGGTATATAAATTCAATAAATATAATAATAATAATAATAATAATAATAATAATTAATAATAATAATAATAATAATA